TATCCCAAGGTTCACTCTTTACGCTGTGAAGCTGAATTCTAATTAACACATAGCTATGTACCCACAATTATATCCTATGAAAGTCTCACTACCCTAAAAGAAATCCCATCATTAATTTGTTCAAACCTCTTACCCCGACACCGCAACCGCATCTTTTTTACTGTAGCCATGTTTGTAATTTTTGTTTCATTTCATTTTTAATTGGGTTGGTTTTTTGAGAGTGTTTTGTGAAACTCAGACTGGCCTTGAACTCCTGATCATCCTCCCACTTCCCAAGTCAGTGCCGGTGTATGGCATCATATCAATCTTGGTACTTTCTTTTGTTTTGTTTCTTATAGCAGGGTCTCAAAAATAAATAGATAGATACAAGGATACACAGCAGTGGTTTTCTCAGTGCTGCTGTGGTGGCTGGCACTTATTGAACCCTCCACATACCCTCAGGCTTGTTGATTATGCAGTCTCATTTTTTAGATGAGAGACACGGAACAAAGTTCACCAAGTTCAACTTAAAGGCCTAAGTACTTTGGTTTCTTTCTCTTTTCATGTGTGCACATCTGTATGGGAACTCAAGGTTGCTATCAAGAATCTTCCTTAAGCACTCTTCATCCTTATTCTTTGAAGCAGGGCCGCTCAATCAAGCCCAGAGTGACCAATATGCCGGTCTCACTGGCCAGCTTTGTCCCATGGGTCCCTGGCTGCCTTCAAGTCACCATGGCACGCTGTATTTATGTGGATTCTGGAGACCTAAACTGTTGTCCCCTTGTTTGTACAGCAAGCACTTTAACCACTGAGCAATTGCTCCAGCCTCTGTAATTTTTAAAAATGTATTTGGTGTCTACGTGTGCAGATCTGGGCATGTGTATACTACACAGTGTTTTTGCAGTGGTTACAGGGCAGCTTGGTAGAGTTGGTCCCCACCTTTCCAAGTCCTCTGGGGCTTCTTGCTAGGCTTGCTTACCAGGCCCCATTATTTATTTATTTTTTTTTTTGGTTTTTTTCGAGACAGGGTTTCTCTGTGGCTTTGGAGGCTGTCCTAGAACTCGCTCTGTAGACCAGGCTGGCCTCGAACTCACAGAGATCCGCCTGCCTCTGCCTCCCGAGTGCTGGGATTAAAGGCGTGCGCCACCAATGCCCGGCTCCCCATCATTTTTTAAACAGTGTCTCATTCTGTAGCCCAGGCTAGCCTCAAATCTGAGGCAATCCTCCTTCCTCAGTTTTCCAAGTGCTGAGATTATCACAGTATGCTGTTAGGGTTTTTAATACTTTCACATTTCACCAAGTTGTTTTTTGTTTTTAATTTACACACACAAGTCCCCACAGTTTAAAACCTGAGGACAGGTAAAAAGATTGTCAGCTTTTAGTTTTCCAAGTAAAGACAAGGAAAATCTCCATTCTCTATGTCAGTGCTGCCTAGCAGAAATGTACAGCAGGCCACAGTGTGGTTTTGAAGTTTCCAGTGACCACATCAAAGGAGGTAAAAAGGAAACCAGATAGTTCCCTAAGTACCTGCAGTCCCAGCACTCAGGAGACAAAAGCAAATGAGCTAGCGTGAGTGATACCTTGTCTGAAAGAACAGGGCCCACATGGCTGTTCACAACTGTCTATAACTCCAGTTTTTTTTTCTAGGCTCTTTTGGTGCCAGGCACACATTGTGTGCAGACAGACAGGCAGGCAAAACACTCAGACACATAAAAAAAAATCAATCTTAAAAAAAAATTGAAATGCCGTCTGTGCTTTATTAACACAATGCAACCTCAGCTCTTGAGCCAGGCCAGAGACAATGTCTCTCTTCTAAGATCAAACTGATGGTCTAGCTTGAGTTTGAACAGTGTTTGCAGACTCTAATTTGCTTGTTATAGATAACATTCTACAAGCCAATTAATTCAAAGGAATCCAGTCACACAGTCAACACTACACCCCAGAAGCCAGAGGCAGCTGCCCGAATTAGTTTTGAGGAAAATTCCTTCCTGCACACATTTGATTCCTGTACAGACTTGTCTACCTTTGTTATTATATGAGTCTGCATTTACACAGCAGATTTGGGACAAACAATGATATCACATTGGTTCTGAGACTGAAGAATTTGGTCTTGAGATATGTAGTGATATCTTGTTTATAGTCTAACAAATAAAGCCTGCTTGAGGTCAGAGGGTGGAGCCAGCTACTAGTTAACCATAGAGGTCTAGAGGCCTGTACCGACAGACAGGAAGTGAGATGACTGGGCGGAGAGGGGTATATAGGCAAGAGGAGACAGAAACTCTTATTTTTTTCCCACAGTCAAATTTGATCTTTATTCTTTTTGAAGAGAAACACAACATTTTATTTCCTGTGGAAACAAAGGCATACCTCTCCCCCAACACAACGTATCTTCTTCCATTTTAAAGTTAAGACATTCTTAAAATATATAGGTTGGTTTAATTTAGCAGTTTCCATAAACCAATTTTTCTCAGCAGCTACTGGTATTTACTTATTTATTTATTGTGTGTTTGTTTTTTTATATTCCCAGTTCCCTCTTCCTCCTCTCCTCCTGCTCCCCCCACCTCCCCATCTACCCCTTTTTAGTCTGAGGATTTCGTAGAGGTGAGAGCTCTAGTGGCTGGCGGCTCTGCTTCTCCATCTTTCAGCTTTCACCCCCCAATATCTGACTCTGGCCTTTTATTATTAAGACCTATTAGAACTCATGTACATATTGGCGCCCAATTTAAAGACACGAATTCATGGAAAAGCCGCTTGCCTGTGGCTTTGAGCAGCCAGCACAGGCTGGAGCTGCATGCTGGGTTCACACTGGAGGCACAGCCCAACTAGGTTTTCTTTTCTTTTTTCTCCAGCCTCTGAGCGAGTCTGGGATTTTCCTGTTGCAGCCTCTCTAAAACAGTCTCCAGCTGCCACCCAAACCCCAGAAGCACCTGGGCTCCAAACACCACAGGATTTACTAGACTGGTTGGCTCTGCCTTCAGGCAGCTCCCCCCACGTTTCTTCCAACCATCCCGCCCCGCTCCCCGCCCTCCTCCCCGCTCCCTCCCGCCCCCCCCCGGCCCCCTTGGGTTGCAGCTGTCCTTGGGCTGTTCTCTGATCAGACATGCTATGTATGCAGCTTTATGCTCCACTGTCATCACTGGTAGATTTGGGGAGGCAATTGGGATTTTTTTATTTTTTTATTTTTGGTTTTTCAAGACAGGGTTTCTCTGTGGCTTTGGAGGCTGTCCTGGAACTAGCTCTTGTAGACCAGGCTGGTCTCGAACTCACAGAGATCCGCCTGCCTCTGCCTCCCAAGTGCTGGGATTAAAGGAATGTGCCACCATCTCCTGGCATGAGAAAGTTTTTTTCCCCACATTAAAAAAATAGGAAACACTATTACAGTGGAGGAAGTTAGGTCTCTGAATGATAATACAATGGACAGTTTGAAAATGGAACAAAACAATGAGAGGATAATTAATTTATATGGGACTTATGTAATGTCAATTATAAACATTATCAGTTTTATCATTTTTGTTTATCACTAAAAAGTTGGTTAATATGAGTTCTACAATAAGTTTTAGAAAAACTTAATAAAACAGCTCATAGTGATATTCAGACCCAGACAGGGGAATTTAATGAAGAACCAATTTCAACGTTGTATTATAAGATTATAGAGGAACAGCTTAAGGTTTTCAAACAACCAACTTTAATTTATTCAGTCACCTAACAGGAACAACTGCCAAATGATAGATATCCCCAAGGCTGTGCAAGAGTTAAATGGACTCCTGTGGAAATGTTAGATTTAAGGAGGTTCAAGGAAGTGTAGTCTCACATGGCATGCATTCACCTTTTGTGAAGCAGATGTTAAACTCCTGGTCAACTTGTAATAGAATGATCCCTAGAAACTGGAGAGATTGGTTAAGGTGGTCTTGAAGCCTGGTCCTCAATTATAATGGAGGGACTGGAAGAAAGATGCGGCTAAGACCATTGGACAATGACGTAGAGCTAGACGTATGGAAATTTCCCAAGACCAACTTCTTGGAGAGGGAGGTTATGCTGATGTACAAAGGCAATACAATGACCACTCCCTGGATTTATGCCAGACAGCAGCTTTGAATACTTGGGATACAATTGGGGAAGTAGGAAAGAAAATTGAGTCATTTACTAAAGGTGTATAGGGCCCAAAGGAAGCCTTCACCTATTTCTTACAAAGACTGATGCATGGATGGATAGCAGAGGTGATTTCCAGAGGTTTGAAGAAAAATTGAAATGTCAGGTGTTTCAATTGTGGCAAACAAGGTCATCTAAACAGGGGTTGTAAGTGGGGGCATTCTTAGAAACAATGTTTTTTCTATGCATAATTCAAACAGAACACCCCTTCTGAATTATGCAAAAGGTGTGGCAAAGGCAGGCATTTGACAAATGAATGTAGGTCAACAAGGGGCAGTGAAGGTAACCATTTGCTGTCTGGAAGTGCCTTGAGGGGCCTCTTGAAGGCTCCCATGGCAAATTCAGTTCAGTTGTTTCCTGTAGCCATGGAAGAAACTCCTTCCCAGAGTAAGTAAAGAACCTAATGCCTATTATAAGAAACCATGCATCTCTGAATGATAGAAAAACTATAGGAGAACAGAAAATTCAGGAGAAATCACAAAGTAAATATTTTGGCAAACTTCTATAAATGAACAAAAACCAAAATTAAAAATATGAACAAATGATGCTGTCATTAAAGACCTTGTAGACACGGGTGTGAATGTCACAATAATTGCAACCAAATATTGGCACCGAAATTGGCCTCTTCAGGAGGTAAATGCTCAGCTTTTAGGGATTGGAACTTTATCTCAGGTACAACAGTGTGTGAGATGGGTCAAATGTCTATGTCCAGAAGGACAGAGAGTAAAATTAAAGCCATATTTGGCTAATATGGCAATGAATTTATGGAGATGTGATTTGTTACAGCAATGGAATATTGAGATTAACATTCCTCCAACCTTAGAAACAAACTTGCCACTGGGCAAGAAAGTCTTGCCTCAACTTCTGAGAGTATGCTGTCCAAATTGGACAAGCAAGACACAAGAAAGGAACTGTCAAACTTTGCCAAGACAAGGTAGGCCAGCCCTTCAGAATATCCTCCTTCATAGAAAAGTCTGTCAAATATGCTAGGCCTATAGGTGGAAGATGGCTGCCCCAATGTTGCAGAGGAACCTTGGGTGACTGTCCAGGCAGCTAGATGTGTCTGCCATTTCTGCATTTTTTTCTAAAGTCCTTGCTTGCACTTCCTGCTTACTCAGATAATATTATTTCCTTCTTTGGTCTCTGATGGAGCTGAAGACTTTATAGTTATAGTTTTTCTTGTTACCAGATTCTAAATAAATTTAAAGTGTATAATGTTGAAAAACATAAAAAGATAATTTTGGTAATACAAGTTAGAATAGAAAGTGAATCAGGTACAACCCTCTGAACTCACCAAGATACGATAGTTATGGAGTATTTTCTCTGACTTTGTCAATGTTAATGGACTAGACATTGTTTATGCATTTATTCCCTGTGTATATTATATATAGTTATTGTACTTATTGTATCATATACTTATTGTATATAGTTTTCTTATATTAGTTATAACCTTTTATATATTAGACAAAAAGGGGGACATGTAGTTATATCTTGTTTATACCCTAAGAAATAAAGTTTGTCTGAAGATCACAGGGTGGAGCTAGCCACTAGTTAACTATAGAGGTCTGGAGATCTGTACAGACAGAAGTGAGATGGCTGGGCAGAGAGAGGACTATAGGTTGGAGGGGACAGGAACTCGGTCTCTTTTCAGTCTGAGGATTTCATAGAGGTAAGGGATCTAGTGACTGGCTTCTCTGCTTCTCTGATCTTGCATCTTTCACCCCCTAATATCTGACTCTGGGCTTTTATTGTTTTTTTATTTAATGTTTATTTTATTTATTATGCATACAGTGTTCTGCCAGAAGAGGGAGCCAGATCTCATTATGGATGGTTGTGAGCCACCATGTGGGTGCTGGGAATTGAACTCAGGACCTCTGGAAGAGCAGCCAGTGCTCTTAGCCTCTGAGGCATCTCTCCAGCCCAGGGCTTTTATTGTTAATCCCTATTAGAACTCATGTTACAGAGATATTTCCATCCTGTAATTTCATGCGAACATTTCAAGTATTTGTACTTAATTTTTAAAAATATTTTCCACTACATTTATTTATTTGGGGGGAAGAAAGAAGGAACATGCTCATGCTACTGGGCAGTGGTGGCACTCCGGAGGTAGAGGCAGGCAGATCTCTGTGAGTTAAGACCAGCCTGGCCTACAAAGCAAGTTCCCAGACAGCCAGGGCTGTCACACAGAGACACAAAAAAACAAAAGAAGGTGGAGGCGGCACATGCCTCTGTACCCATCTGGAGGTCCCAGGACAACTTGGAGGAGTTGGTTCTTTCCTTCCACCATGTGGGTACCAGGGATTGAACTCAGATTGTCAGACTTGGTGGCAAGTGTTATGTTGCTGGCCCCTGCTTAAAATTTAAAACACCTCAGTGCAGACAGATCTCTGTGAATTTGAGGCAAGCTTGGTCTACAGAGTGAGTTCCAGGGCAGCCAGGGCTACAGAGAGAAACCCTGTCTCCAAAAACAAAACAACAAGAAAAAAACATTTTAAACACCCCCCGAAAAGCAAATAAACTACAAAGTGTAACTATACAACTTAATAAAATGTAGGAGAGATCTCCTGTGCCTGAGGTACTGATCACGCCCGTTTGGGGCGTGGACAGAGGGACGTGGGAAAGATGAGGTATATAAGGGGGAAAAGAAAGGGAAAGCTCTCTCTTTAGATCCCTGCCGAGGTTCGAAGACCGTAGAGTGCTGACTCAATTCTCAGCTTTTCATGTAAGTTACTTCTCTCTGTCTTAATAAATATCCAACTACCTTTTCCCGGCATCCTTAGTGTGACTCGTTTCCCTTCACAGTAAAATTCTGGCTGGAGAGATGTCTCAGTGGGTGAAAGCACTGGCGGTTCTTGGAGAGGAATGAGTTCAGTTCCTAGCATACACATGGTGGCTTACAACCATCTATAACTCCAGTTCCAAGGGAGCCAATACTTTCTGACTTGCATGGGCACCTGGTACATATATATACATGCAGACAAAACATTCATACACATAAAATAAACTAATTTTTAAAAATTAGCAAAATTCAAGTGTGTGGTGCTAGCACACGCCTTTAATCTCAGTACTCGGGAGGCAGAGGCAGGCGGATCTCTGTGAGTTCGAGGCCAGCCTGGTTTACAGAGCGAGTTCCAAGACAGGCTCTAAAGCCACAGAAAAGCCCTGGCTCAAAAAAAAAAATTAGTAAAATTCTATTTCTACTGTTTAGTAAAATGTCATTTTAACCAGTTTGAATAATTAATTCTGAAATTTGCTTTAATGTACTTACTTTTAACTTACTTCAATTTTTGTTTATTCCTGTAGTGCTGGGGATGGGACCAAGGCTGGGACTTGCACATGCTAGACAAGCTCCAGAACTACATGTATGTGTATAAGTGCTGTCTTCATGCACACCGGAAGAAGGAATCTGATCCCATTTTATTTTATTTTATTTTATTTTTGGTTTTACGAGACAGGGTTTCTCTGTATTGTTTTGGAGGCTGTCGGTCCAGCCTGGCCTCGAACGCACAGAGATCCGCCTGCCTCTGCCTCCCGAGTGCTGGGATTAAAGGCGTGTGCCACCACTGCCCGGCGTTCTATTTTACTTTTTAAGACAGGGTCTCAATACATATCCCTGACTGGCATGAACTAAACATGGAGACATGGCTGGCATTGAACTCCACTTTTTTTTTTGCTAATGCGTATGTGTATTTTGCCTGCACGTGTGCCTGTGCACCACTGTGCATCTGGTGTCTACAGAGGCCAGAGGAGAGCACTGAATTCCCTAAAACTGGAGTTATAGATGCTGTGAGTGACCAGGTAGGTGCTGGAAATTGAGCCTGGGTCCTCTGGAAGAGCAGTCAGTGCTCTTAACCACTGAGCCATCTCTCCAGCCCTTTGTTCCACTTCTTGTAATTGGATATAGAATTTCCCTTGACTGACATAATTACATATACAAAGCTCATCCAAGACTGTATTAGTATTATTCATTTTATGACTGCTACTTGAGAATACCATTTAAACACAGTATGTAAGAGTTGCCTGCCCTAGGTGTCTATGAAACGAGCACAATAAAGGAAAGAAATAAGGTGACTGGTGAGAGGGCTCAGCTGCCAAACCTAATGACCAGGGTTTAATCACTGGGACCCACATTCTGGAAGGAGAGAAGTTGTTCTCTGACCTCTTTTATGTGCTGTGGAATACATGCACGTATACACGCATGTACGTAAAGTATAATAATGAGCAAGCCAGAATTCAAGGTTGTATGCTTATGGAACATATGATATAACTATATCTTTTGTTATTTTGGGTTAGGCCTGGGATTAAACCCAGAGCCTCACACATGTAAGCACATGTTCTATCACTGAGCTGTATACATCCAGCCCTAAATGTGTGTTTATTCTTTAAATTATATGTATGGGTATGTGCACATGCCACGGCCAAAGATGCAGGATTCCCCTGCGACTGGAGTTTAATGGGCAGTTGTGAGCCACACAATTTAGGTTTTAGGAATCAGACTCAGGTCCTCTGGAAGATCAGTGCACAGTTTCCACCACCGAGGCAGCCCTCCAGCTCCACTAAATGTAGGTATCTTTAGATAGCTAGGTATCTTAGAAAACGGGAGTGGGGTGGGGGTGTGGGGTTGTGAATGAGGGAATTAGTCAGCTTTCAGTCACTATAACAATTACCTAAGCCAATCAAGTTATGAACAGGTTTATGTTAATTGAGAGTCTGTGAGTTTTACTTTCACGAATGATTGACATTGGCTGTAGAAAGTCAAAGAACACAGCTTGGTAGGGGTGGGCACCGCAACAGAACAAAACAAACAAACAACAACAACAACAAAAAGAAAAAGAAAATGGGCAAGGACAGGCGTTTAAATTCGTCTTTCCAGGACCTGAAGACCTCCCCTGAGGCTGCAGCCCTTAAAGCTTCCTCCAACTTCTAAGAGTACCACTATGGGAAACAAACTGTTCATTATTCATTCACTCATCATTTACTCCAGATAGATCTCATGTAGCCCAGGCTGTCTTCCGACTTGGATAGCAGGTGGTGACCTGAACTTCTGGTCCCCCTGCCTTAACCTTCTGAGTGCTGAGATTATAAAGGTGTACCAGCACACCGGGCTTTAGGTAGTTTTAGGGATCTGAAAATCGAACCTACAGGGCTTCATGCATTCTTTGCAAAGCAGTCTACCAACTGAGCTACATCATGGCCTCTGTGGGCATCTATCTGCACACACCTGTCATATAAGTGAATCGTAAAAACGAGAAATTGTGAGTAAAAAATGCATACTAGTTTTGCTGTTGTGCCTCCAATTATAAATGTTATCGCCACAGTGAGACGTGTGCTTAGTTACGATGGGAAAGCTGTTAAATTCATGTATACTGGGGAAACCAGTATATGCAAACTTTGGTATAGTCACAGTTCCAAACAGCTACTGCAAGGGTCTTACAATCTATCCCCCTTGGGTGGGGTGGGGTTACTCTAGGACCTGGGGAGGCTGTGGAGAAAGGGTTAGTGGAGCTGAAAAGTTTAAGATGAGCCTGAGCAGCACCCTGAGCCTCCGGAACAAAACCAAACTCCACAAATCTCCCTTCTCCAATTCACCTGTATGAAAACTCCCCGCACTAATCCTTTCTGTCCTAGGCACTCACTCTTTTTGCTCTGTCTTTTCTTTCTGTCCCTCCAACTGCTGCTTAAGAAGGGCCTCCAGCAAATGAGATGGCTTAGCTGGTAGTGGTGAGGACCACAGGCTGGGAAGAGAGAAATGGCTGCCATTAGTTGTTCTTGGATCTCCACATAGCCAGGCTTCTATGGCCAACCCCCAACCCCGAAGTAAAACAGGGGGGCTTCTGCCTTAGTCACTTCTGTACCTCCGTAGCCCTGGCTTCAAATTCAATGCCTGGCCTGTTAAATGTCCTCTGGTTTAGGGGAGTTTAGAAAGGCTCACATACTTCACCAATGGCTCTTGAAGTGATGACACTTGTAATAGGGAAGGAAGAATTTATCTTTCTCTCCAGAGGACCAGACTCTGCCAGATGATCTATAACCATGCAGCATCCATCACAGGGCTTACCTATGGAGTGATGGTAATAACAGAGGATGAGCGTGTGTGTGGAAGAAAAGATGGAAGAGAAAGGCAGTGGAATAACATGTATTTTTTTTTCTTCTGAGAACAATGAAGCCACTGGACCAGATTAACTGAATCTGACCAACAACATGGTTGGGAAAGACCAACACTAGCCTAATGGTAGTTGGTGTAAGGGATTCAGGCATTATGCTGGCCTGCCCCTGTCACCTGGCAGAATGCACTCAGGCAGTTCCCTGGTCAGCCCAGGGTTCCCATGAGTACTAGTCTGCACGGAGGTACAAGGGACACCTTTAAAAGACAGACTATTGCTCTCTTTCCTTTTGCCCCCTCCTCTCCTGCCCTTTGACCCCCTCCCTGTATCTCTCTCTTCGACCCCCTCTTGCTTTACCCCTCCTTTAATAAACTCCATGGTTAATGGATCTCTTGGTCATGTTCCATCGCGCCTGAAATTTAAACAAAAGAACAACAGTTGGTTCTACAGCGTTAAAAAAAAAAAAGGTCTGAGCAAGATGACAAAGGAACGTCATCCTTTGGAAAGCGTCGCAACAAGACGCACACGCTGTGCTGCCGCTGTGGCTCGAAGGCCTACCACCTTCAGAAGTCCACCTGTGGCAAATGTGGCTACCCTGCCAAGCGCAAGAGGAAGTATAATTGGAGTGCCAAGGCTAAGGGGCGAAACACTACGGGGACTGGACGGATGAGGCACCTAAAAATTGTCTATCGAAGATTCAGACATGGATTCCGTGAAGGGACGACACCTAAACCCAAGAGGGCAGCTGTTGCAGCATCCAGCTCATCTTGAGGATTTCAGTCAGTCATAAAAATAAAATGTTCTGGTTTTGAAAAAAAAAAGGTCTGTAGAGAGGCTCTAAGCAATGAAAGGGAAGCTCTGCTAGAAACCTTTATGAGACTAAAATTTTATTTGCCAGGTGGCAGTGGTGCATGCCTTTAGTCCCAGCACTCGGGAGGCAGAGGCAGGCAGATCTCTGTGAGTTAGAGGCCAGCCTAGTCTACAAAGCAAGTACCAGGACAGGCTCCAAAGCTACACAGACAAGCAGTCTTGAAAAACAAAAACAAATTTACTTATTCTGTGTCTGTGTAGGGGAGATAGACAGACAGAGGTAGAGAATGAATGAGAATTGATGTCACAGGACAACTTGTAAGCGTGTTACTTCCATTCTGTGGGATCTGGATATTAAGTCAGGCAATCAGGCTTGGTAGCAAGTGACTAACTGCTGGCCTATCTCCCTGGGTCCCCATGTCACTTTAAATATTTTAACTAGTAAACTGTAAAAGTACTGATTAAAAATGGTCTCAAATTATTAGCCAAGGCTAGCCTCAAATTGACAGTAATCCTGCCTCAACTGAACTGCTGCTGGGATTAGAAACTTGAGAGGGTACCCTGGGAGCTGCCTATGAAATTTCAATGAACACACGATGATCACTGTTTTGATACCTTTTTTTTTAACCCCGCCAAATATTATTCTCATTAAGTTGATATCTGTGCATTGCTGGTGACCTGTTAACTACTATGAAATCTAATTCCAGATAGCTTGTACTTTTTATTAGGCATCAAGACCGTGTTTACATAGATTATCCCACTTAATCCATAAGGCCACAGAGCCAAGGAGAAACAGCAATATCTGCACTTCAAGATAAGCAAAAGGAGAGGCTGGGAAGTGAACGCAGGAAGTCTGACTCCATCGAACAAAGAACCGCCCAGGTCGCAGTTGGGGAGATTAAAATGCAGTGATTTCTAGCTTCCAATGAGAAGAGGGACCCTGGGCGGGAGCAAAGCGAAAACCTTCCCAGCATCTGTGCCTTTTAGAGTTGCCCCCTCCCACTAGGGACGCTCCATCCACCCGCCGGTCTCCCGGAGTACCACCTCGCACCCCACACCTCTGCCGACGCTCACTCAACCTCGCACTCAGTCCACTCTGCGCCCAGAGCTGAGTGAGGTCTACTATTCGCGGTCCACCCTTAACCATGTCCATTCCACTACAGGGAATGTCACTTTCCCGTCCACTTCGGGCACACAGGGGTGAGGCCTCCACGCCCCCTCCCATCACCCTGGCACCAGCGCCATGAAGGTGACCTCCCCCTAGGGCTGCACGCGCCGGGGTGGTGGTACAACTGACTCACACGTGGTGAGCCCGGAGAACGCGGCCCCTCCCCGCCACGCGCCGCCTGCAGCCCGCTCAGTCCCGCCCCCAGAAAGGCTCCGCCCTGGGCTGGGCGAGGCGCACACCCGCCCCGCGTGGACTGGCAGCGCGAGCTGGGCGAGATCCAGGACGTGCCCGAGGTGAAAGAAACGCACGAGGTCGCTCGGCTCCCGGCGCAGGGTGGCCCTGCCCCTCGGTGCGCTAGGGAGCGCGCTGGGACTGCCAGATAGGCTCTTGTGGCAGCGCGCGTCCTGCGACTTGTCTTGGGAAAGCGGACATTCTTTCCCAAAAAGAAAGCACTAAAGGGATCCTTGGGGGTCCCTTTAGTGCCCCCAAGGATTAAAAAAAGAAAAAACCAAACAAACCATTATTTGACCCAAAAGCACTTATTAAGCCTGTTTGTGGCTGGAACGTGTGTGTAGAGGAAGGGGCTCAATCCAAGACAAGGTGAGTCTGTCCCCTAAAAACGCTTTTCTGAGCCCCCCACCAGTGTTCCTCTGTGGCATCCAGTGTTCCATCGGTGTCCCAGAAAGAAACAGGGAAGAAGTCCTACCTGGCGGCAGGTGTCATACAAACGACCAAAAGCAAGGCGGAGAAAGAAAAGCTTTGAGGGCCAGATGGGAAGCGCTCTATGTCCCCCCCCCCCATCTTCATTCCAACCCCCATCCTAAGAAAAGAAACCGACCTCATCCGTCCCCCCCTCTCCCGCCCCCCATCCCAGGCGATAGACCGCCCCGCCCAGGCAGCCAGCGATTGGGAGATGCAAATACCGAGTTCTCTGCCCAGCAACGGATGACGCGACACCTAGCGCGAGGCGTGGCCCGGCCGCTGCCCGAGCGGGCACCTCGGTGTTTACACGGGGCGGCCCCGCGCGCGCCGCAGCTGCCCGCAGACGACGAGGGGGAAGGGAGAGCGCGCGCCTTCGGGGCCGCGCGGGGAGAAAGACACTGGAAGGCGGCGGCGGGCGGGCAAGCGCGCGCGGGGCCGCGGAGGAGCGCCAGGCCGCGACCGGAGCCCGCGGGGGCCTGCGAAGCTCGAGTCCTCGGCCCCGCGAAACAATGCGCGGCGCGCGGCGGAGCTCTCCTGGCCCGGGACGGCGGGGACGCGCCGAGCCCGCCTGAGTCCGCGCCGCTGACCTCCCTCCCTCTCCTACCCCCCCGCACAGACGGCCCGAGCGCCGGGCGCCGCGCTCCCAGCTCGCGGGGGCCGGGCCCAGCCGCGGGGCGGAGCCGCCCCACCGTCGCCGCTGCCTCCTCCCCCACCGCCGCCGCGGAGGATGCGGACGGCCCCCGGCGGCGTCTAGCGGCCCGGGCCCGGCGCGATGGTGCAGCAGCGGGGCGCGCGGACCAAGCGGGACGGCGGGCCGCCGCCCCCGGGGCCCGGGCCGGCCGCCGAGGGGGCGCGCGAGCCCGGCTGGTGCAAGACCCCGAGTGGCCACATCAAGCGGCCGATGAACGCGTTCATGGTGTGGTCGCAGCACGAGCGCCGGAAGATCATGGACCAGTGGCCCGACATGCACAACGCTGAGATCTCCAAGCGCCTGGGCCGCCGCTGGCAGCTGCTTCAGGACTCGGAGAAGATCCCGTTCGTACGGGAGGCGGAGCGGCTGCGCCTCAAGCACATGGCGGACTACCCGGACTACAAGTACCGGCCTCGCAAGAAGAGCAAGGGGGCGCCCGCCAAGGCGCGGCCCCGCCCCCCCGGAGGCGGCAGTGGTGGCAGCCGGCTGAAACCCGGGCCGCAGCTGCCGGGCCGCGGGAGCCGCCGAGCGACGGGAGGGCCTCTGGGGGGCGGCGCGGCGGCGCCGGAGGACGACGACGAGGACGAAGAGGAGGAGCTGCTGGAAGTGCGCCTACTGGAGACCCCTGGGCGCGAGCTGTGGAGGATGGTCCCGGCAGGGCGCGCCGCCCGCGGACCCGCGGAGCGCGCGCAGGGGCCATCCGGAGAGGGGGCGGCCGCCAGCGCCGCCTCCCCGACACTGTCGGAAGACGAGGAACCCGAGGAAGAGGAGGAGGAGGCTGTTACAGCAGAGGAGGGCGAAGAGGAGACGGTGGCGTCGGGGGGAGGAGCCGCTGGGCTTTCTGTCCAGGATGCCCCCGGGCCCCGCCGGCCTGGACTGCAGCGCCCTGGACCGCGACCCGGACCTGCTGCCCCCTTCGGGCACGTCACACTTCGAGTTCCCGGACTACTGCACCCCCGAAGTTACCGAGATGATCGCAGGGGACTGGCGCCCGTCTAGTATCGCCGACCTGGTTTTCACCTACTGAGCCCACCGTCAGCGGGGCGCGCACGCCCCCAAACCAGCTGTTTACATACAGGAATCAGGTATTGGGGCCCCTCGGAGGCCGAGGCTGGCACCCCTTCTCCCGCGCAGCCTCCCCCCTCCTAGTTGTGCCCATCCCCCCACAGATCCAGACATACCCCTCCCCCGCAGACACACCCCAAGGCAGCGCAACCCCCACTTTCTCCCTGACATCAAAGCCCCTCCCCATCCAGTCTTGTCCCGCGTAGCCACCAGCAGCCAGCCCCCCTCGGAAACACCTCCCGTTTCCCCGACATACCTGAACCCCTCCCCCCCACTTTGCACACGCCCCTCCTCGTGGCCGGGCGGCACGCCCCTTCGCTCCAGAATCCCTCCGCCCTCGCCCGGGCCTGCCTTGGTTAAGGGGGCGCTGCGGTCTGGCGGCCCGCTGCTCCTCCCAGTTCCCTCCTCTCCCGGAGGGGGGAAGGGCGTCCTCCCTTCCCCCCCAGGATCTCGAGGCCCCACCCCTCAGCTTGAACCGTCCTCTTCTTGCGCATGCTTGATGCTTCTTGGAGGGGCTGGTCCCAGTTGAGCTGCCGGCCTCCGTCGCTAACTTCGAAAGGGAGGGGGGCTGATATAGAGTGATCCTAAGAAATCCTTTGATCCCGGAGCCCGTGGCTTCCTCTCGACCCAACGGGGCGTTACTGCCTTAATGGGAGGCGCACTCAAAGGGAGAGATAGAAACTAGCTAGCCCTAAACTCTGCAAGTGTCAACCCCTTTTCTATGATGGGGTCACCCACGCCCACCACCACCCGCCACCGCGTGACTGCCTTTACAGCCCATCTTGGTCGCCGGAAACTTCCTTTCCCCGAGTGGGAATTTGGTCTTTGTCTGGAAATCCAAGATGGGATTGTCCAAGAGAACTCAGAACCAAGACACCTACCAGTCTGGGGACAGAGTTCCTGCTGCCCCTTCAATCCCCCTCCTCGGGAAGCGCCCTATCAGCTCAGGGCATCCTCTCTGCCTGGGCTCCTCCCTAAGTCCATCGCCCCTTTCTATCACTCAGATCCGGTCTCAACAACCACAGCTGCAGTATTCAGTGGGAGAAACCGAAGCACGTCGTTGCTAGGATTTAGGACAGGCATACCAGCAGACGGGTGGCAGGAATGAGGCCCATGTCTAAATAGTGGCTTGAGGAGAGACCAGGCCACAGCGACTGGGGACAGGGCTCAGCTAGTGGACGTGGGTGCTTTGCACCTCGGTCTTCCCTTGTGAGAAGGAGTTAGGAGGAAGCTGTGTTGAGATTAGGTTGCCCTCCGGAGCCCTGCCCGGGTGCCAACTCTGCTCCACTGGTCTCCCGCTCGAGCCCCGCCCCTCCGGCCTCCCCATCCCCCTCTGCCTTCACTACCTGAATCTCACCGGCGTGTGCTCACCTCTTGGG